TTGGTAATGGTGTGCAAACACCCTCATCGTAGTGAGATGTTTGGAGAGTGGGTTTCCCTCTTGGTATCTTTTTGATGGTATCGAGACAAAGTTCACTTTGCCTTTCATCCAATCTGGGAATTTTTTAGACATTTCATACATCTGCATGAAGGTGCGGGTTTGGTGATCTTGTGGGTGCATTTCTGTATATATTCTACCTCTTCAGAGTGGTAAGAGGTAAGGATGTGGTGCCATACTGCACAACAATATTCTAGTGCAGATCCTATCAAGGATATACAAATTGTAACTGTCTTTAACCTCAATGCCTGGTCTGCTCAATACACGGAGCATGTGGAATTGTTTAGAAGCTTTGGTGACAGTAGCATCAATATGGCTAGCATAGAGTTTCATCCAATTACTAGAGCTCCAAGAGACGATGGTATAAGGACTTGATTGGATGTTCAAATTATTGTTTCTTTCGAGCCCTTTGAACAAAGATACATTGTCAACATTATTCCAGATACAGATTTCGGGTGTAGAGATATTCAAATTGTTGACCAGTACAAAAAACAGTATTCGGTGAGTTTTGCCCCTTGAGGAACACTAACTTTAAATGAAAGCCAGTCAGAGATCGAGCCAGGTACTAAAACTCTTTATGGCAGTTACTCAAGAAACTTATGGTCAATGGTATTAAGGATGTGCAAACTCTTAGGCCCAGAGAATTTTTCTATTAGTACATTGTGTAATCTTCTACTGATAAACTTCTGGTGGTGTCATACTTTAAGGGTGAGGAAGATTCATGTTGTCATTTTGTCATATTGCCCAACCCCCCTCAAGTTTTGGTATGTTTAAGCACAACTTGAACCTGAGCTGAGTCGATTTGTCAACTACCACAGACAAATCAAGTTTGATTCAGTGTATTGGGCATGTATGTTAGAAAAGGAATACTAATATTGCATTCTGCAAGTCCTTCATTGTAATCAACTAATTAACTTATTAGGGTATTTTAAAATTCTGGGTATTTAAAGCATACCTCTGGGGTATTAATGAAGTAATTTTGTATCGTTAGCCTTTTTTTAAGACACGCAAGTCGTCTTAAAATCCTGTGAACCCAGCGATTGCTGAGTGTTGTCCACTCTCGGAGGGTGGGAGGTTTGACTCCTCCAGGCGGTATCAATGAGTTGACTCTTTTTTTGTTTGTTTGTTTGTTTGTTTTCTTTTATCTTGTCTTTAATTTTTGTTGTTGTTCCCAAACTCCAGTTACATGCTTGCGTAAAAGTAGATATGACCCCAAGGGAAACAATTAATACACTAGTCTTGATCAAAATACGATGGATTGTTAGTGAAGGGCCTATGAAATAATACGTCCATTTTATCATGATTAGGTACTAACACTGCTCTAAACATGTTGGTGGAATGAGCTCCCATGTGAGTGTGATATTCTCTAGGTAAATCTGTATATCCTTCGTTGTTTGCTTGTATAGAAGACGATGCTTACGTTTTTCTCCAACCCCCATCGAAGATATATCGGATATTCCATTAGATTAATAACGTGATGTTTAACACGATCAGTCCCTCAAATTTTTTTATACCATCAGTTGTTATCGTTCCAAAACGCGTTGTCTTTGTTCCATAATGTTAAGTCTAAAATGGGACTTTGTACACCAATACCAATGGCAGGAAATGTGTGGTTGCTGTTTCCTAAAGGTCCAATTACTTCCGGTACAATATATCCTCCTTTAGTCCACTCTTTATACGGATGAACTCCGTCTACTTCTTGAAAAAAGAATTAATAGTGTCTTTGTAGTCATTCACTGGCTTAAACGTTTAAGTATGCTTTATTTAGAACGATTGAACTGGACTTTCTTCATACACACGATAAGTGTCTTGAGTTAAAAGTATTAGGTACAGCTTTGTAATATCACACATCGTATCCTTGAACATCTGGTGGATATACAAAATTTGTGAAGACATGATATAAAGGCTCAGTTCTACCATACTCGTCCATGCAAGTGGTGATGTGAAACTTTGGATTTCCTTCTCCAGAATCCGATATAATTCCTCTTTTAAGTGGAGTGAGGTATTCATTTAAATATATTAGTTGTTTCTCTATTCTTTAAACCTTACTTTTCGCTCCTGCCATTTCTACTTTTATGTCGACACTGACCTTGTCGTAACTGTCTAACTGTTCATAAACTGGATATCTGTAATCTATCAACGAATCTTACTTCCAATCGTGGTCGTATCCTGGATTATCAAATTCAACAGACTGTTTCCAAGATGATACTGTGTAAGATGTTCTATTAGAAACGATGTCTTCATTGGTATAATTGTCGTATTATTGGGGAAATTCCTAACTGTTAATGTTAAGTAAAATGTTCTTGTTTTGACCACGTTGCTGATAATTGGAAATACCTGAAATCTCCTGCAACAGCACTCGGCTTCATGTTTATGTGTGATGGCAACCAAGGTGTATTTACGTCAAAGTGGACAAAGAGTAGCTCTGATGTCGTGATTTGTCCAATCTGGTGTATCCAATAGTTGGATATCTTCCAGCTAAAAATAATCTCCATCGTCATCTTTTCTTCGAGTTTTCTTTCCTCTAACAACATACAGTTCTCTCGTTGAGCAGTCTGATCTTTTCGGCTGTATCGTTAGTGTGCTTTTAAGTAGAAGTTCGTTCACGCCATTGATGCTAGCATAAGGCAAATAATGGTTTTTGTCTCCTAAAAAGTAGAAGAACGGTTGCTGGTTCGGTTTTGCCACAACCTGCGTTCCTGCTGCTATAATTATCACATCGTCGTTAATAGCCAGAGTATTTGAAATCTGTACTCCAACACTCTTAACTTGAACGTAATTTCCGGACGCTCTCATTTCCCCGATATCTTTTGGTTTTTAGGCAGAATCGGTATTCATTGACTGGTACTCTTGACCATCCAGTTGTTAGACCATCGAAAGCAAATTCCGAACCACGTCTGATAGATTTGAAATATTTTGTCACATTACTGTCTCCATCTCTATCATCTTCTGCTTTTCTTTTTTTACCTTCTTCGGACATAACTTTTACAACAAAGTGAACACAGTATTTATGCCATAATATCTACATTAAACATCCATGGGGACATTTCAATCTCCTCGTCACTGATAACAATTGTTTCAGGCTTCTTGTCTTGATAATAGCGTTTGATTCCCGAGGAATCAGATGAGGCAGGAACTCTTTGGTCGCATTGAAATTCATCAAGCTGATTGTTCCTCATGTCCACAGAGGTATCTTACTTTTTGAAGTAGCGTCTCAAGGGAGGTCTTTTGCCATCAACTTTGTCATAGCCATGCATGTCCGAACAATGAGACAAGTGCATGGCAGACAGAGGCTGGTCGCAAAGCCGCCTGATCTTGGATGGATTTGAATAAACCGGACTGGTGGGCATGCAATCCAACCACGCCTTGGGGTGAATGTGCACTTTGAAATCTTTGAGCTCTGGGATGCAACGCCAATTTTTCGGACTTTACCATTCTTGCTTCCAGGGCTTCTCGGACACGCTCCCCAAGGAGTATTGTTAGTAGTAACAATAAATGGCACGCAATACAGCTTGGCATCTCTAAATTTAACAGGTAACAAGGTAGATGTTCCCTCTAAGACTTTTTTTCCATAATTTTAAGGTTTGTGGCTCAAAAATTACCTCTTCTAACAATACACAATTTTCCAATCTGTGACTTCCTGTTTCTTCAATTGCAATGCCATGGCTTTTTGTACGTTGTCCCTGTAGTCTGCTTGATAGTACATACAAGTCTTTCCAATCGTCTTCGCAGTTTTTAAGAGCCCAATCTTCAAATGCGGTCACATTGTTGGCGTTACTTCTCTCTATCATGCGTTCTAAATCGTCCGCTCTTTTGCGTTTCACGTTTGGAGTCTTAGGGCGAGGTGTTCTTTCTTCTACGCTGTTTGACGTGTCTTCAGACATCGTTTCTCTCTCGAATGCTGTGTTGTGATATCTCACTTCTCTAGGGCTTTGTTCATATACTTCAAGATACTTCTGTAGAGTATGGATAGTCTGCACTGTCACCTGGGGGTCTCTAAGTTTGCTCATATGTTGCAGCCACGCACGATTTGGTCGCTGTCGTTTCTGAAAGGCCCCCCTTCCACCATTATGTGTACGTGATCTCCTTCATGTCGTCTTCTGCTACAAGTGTCACCTTTAAAGTGGATGTAAATGATGTATTGCCCGTTCTCGCGAATACACCGCTGTAAAACACGATCGCAGATGTCGATCGCTCTGGCACAGAGAGAGAACCAGCCCGACATTATTTTATAGTTTAAGTAAAAGTAAAATGCCAGTCATAACTGTGTTATCCATGTGGTAGATTTGAGGGATCTTTTGGTATGAGTGAAATATGTCAGCTTTCAAAGTGATAAAAAATTTGTCCTGGCACCTAAGGAATTAAAAAAACTATTTCACCTAATACAGGTGACTGACTGACTGTCCCTCATGGGAAGTCCCACGTAACATGACCGCACCCTACCCTAGGAATATTTATGAATCCCAGTGAATAATTTATAAATCCTAATGAACAATTAATGATGAAAGAATGCATATTTTATAAATCTAGTGAGGGTTTGCGTTTCTTTTGCTCTATGTATCCAGTAAGCTGGTTAAGGGCAGCTCGTTCACATACTTTGGAAAATGCAGGTGATAGGGACACAGGGCAATTGTTGTTTGGTACCTCAAGATTCCCCTTCCAGCAGTGGAATGACAACTGCTTCTTTCCAAGTCGTTGGAAATATGGAAGTAAGGAGAGAACGATTAACAATCTCTGTCAAAGTGGAAAGAATGCAAGGCAGGGCATCCTCAGGGTTCTCAATAGATTTTTAAGTAGGAGGTGATCACTGATAAAGTAGGAGGCTCTTCAGCAAAGCCAGAGGTGTCAAAGCAAACCAGCTAAGGTCCCGGAACATGCCTAGAATGCATGCCTATACCTATATAAAGCGTTATCTGAAGCTGAGAAATACATTACATGTAGCCTTACCTTTGCTGATATTTGTATGTTCTATTTTGAAATTGAAGGTAGTCAAACTCAGGGTCAGAATAGAGGTCACTGTCAGCACATTCACTATCTTCCTGAGATAGACCCACTGCCAATATAACATGACTTTCATCAGAAATGGATTGTTCCACAGTAACAGTCTCTTTCTCACAAGCTTCTGTCTGACAAGCGGAATCAACTGAATATGGAACTGCCACAAAAGCTGTAGATTCTGTTTCAACAGGAACTTTAGGAGGGAGTTTCCTTCTGTTTTTCTTCTTATTCCATAGAGGAGCAGCTGATTCAATCAATTCATTACATTCAGGAGAATAAAGGTCAGGGCCATTGATTGAGATTAGCATCAAAGTATTAAGTATGTCAACCTTTATTCGACTTCTGAGCCTTGTCTTCAACCTCTTTAGACAGCTCGCCCCTCTCTCTGGCCAGACATTTGACATAGGCAAAGAACTTGCAATTTCTACTATCTGTAGTAGTAATTCAAACTGAAGTCCTTGTTTCAAGATAATCAGCCTTTTGCATACACCATTCTGTTGACGATTGGTGTCTCTTCTTAACTTCTGGCTTTTCCTTAGCCTGCTCTCTCGCCTGCTGCATTCCTGATGTGGCAGTTGTCCCTTCTGTACAAGATTTTGATTGTCCATGATCTGTCTTCGTCTTGGTCTTGAGTTCCTCTGGGACTTTCTTCCAGTTTGCAAGATCATATTTGAATTCTCTCCATTCGTCTTGCAACTGGGTAGCCTTTACAGCAGATTCTGAAGGCCTGCCATTGTTTTCACATCAATTTTACCGTAGTACTTGGATAACAGGTCAGACAGCTGCGTCTCTGTTCCCTGGTTCATCTCTAGTGGTCTAAGCTCTGACAACTTCTGTATCACTGATGGCTTAGCTGAATCGTCACTGCTTGAAGCATTTGTTTGGTTGCTTGTGTCCTTTTGCACGGCTGAGATGAGTTAAAGTCTTCCATTAACAGGGTCGAAATCAGCTTTAACATTATTGCGTGGAGTCATGTCCTTAATTTTCTTCAACCTGTCAATTGTGTAGTCAATAGATGATTGCACAGTTGAGAAATTGGTCTTGCTGTACTGAAAAGTTTTACTCAATTTTGAGAGCTCTGGAAGAACTTCTTTCAAAATGTAACTGTTCCCAAGAATTTGGTGGTTCTTATTTCATGAAGAAGACCTTTAGCTGTAGGATCACTTGCTGATAACTCTGAGAGCGTAATGAGAATAGCTGCATAATCGGCATACAGTGCTTGTGTTGCAGCATCAAAGGAAAGCTATCTCGTTGAGCAAGCTTTCCTCAACTTCTTATGAGATTCCTTGCTGACCTTGTTTAACACACTCAATTTCTTCACTTCAATTTGAGCTTTCAGGTAAAGTGCTGTTCTTTTGGGAGAGTACTCAAAGTATTTCCACAGTTGCTTCATCCAATTTTGAACTTTATATCCTTTGCTGTATCTGTACATGAAAGAGCAAGGCAGTGAGCTAAGCAATGAACATTGATGAGGGACTTGTTAACTCTTTCCTTTAAAAGTGCAGCAACACCTGATTTATGGCCCATCATCACACTTGCTCCATCAGTAACAATTGATGCCAGTTTATTCAGCTCAAGTTTGAGAGACAAAAGCTTTGTCGTGGCAACTGTATAGATAGTGTTTGCATCAGCTGAGCAGGAGGCCTTGAGGAGGTCTTTAACAAAAAGGAAGTTTGTTTTCACTTCCCCATCATGAACATACTGTATGAAAGTTACTAACAATTCCAAAACTGAAATATCAGTTACTTCATCCATTAAAATGCCATAGCATCCAGCTTGAGTTGCTTGTTTTATGATTGTATCTTGGATTACTTCACCAATTGTTAGAAAAATATCACGAAGTGTTTCCTCGCATTTGTATGAAAAATATTTTATATGCTTTACTCCAGATGTGTCAAGAAGTTTAAGAAGGGACAACAGTTTGGAGTTGGCCACCTCATGTTTTGCCAGCTAATATTGCTGACATAAAAGCAGAGAACACAGTCTTGTCTCCCTTAGCAGCTTTATCTGCCAGTCCTTTAGCAAACTGAGAATTTTTCTGCAGTAGCTCTGCTTCAATGGCTGCCTTGTGACGATCAGAGTCAGCATGTGATTGTAATGCAGATTCCTTATGTCTCTTTCCAGGTTTCCCAGTAAATATATCAGCCTGGTTTTGTTTATTTCTTGTTTTGTGCTTGAAGCAGAGAATGCAGTACATTGCCTTGCCTTCAGCATATAAAAGCCAAAAAAATCCAGTCTAGTGGCAGTATGTGAGCTCTCTATCAGAGAGTCATTTGTTCTAGAATTTATCTTTCTTTCCATGCAATAAACTTGCATCTAAATTGCTAACACTTTGACAGTTTTGCTCAAGGCAGTGATAATACGAATGACGTGCACAAGAAATGTTATCAACAAAGTCAAAAGTATTAGAGATTAACTTTCTCATCTCACATGGTTCTAGAACAAGCTTGGATAAAGCTGGGTTTGGTAAAGAACAACCACTGCTTGAAAGGGGTCGAGAAATGCTTGAGGAAGAGCTTTCCATGCTTGGGGAAGGCCCAGTGTTTAAAAAAGGATCGTTACCACTTGCTGAGGGCCTGGCAGCACAAAGAGAACTGTAAATACTTGAAGGCTCACCACATTCTTCAACATTTGTTGTACTTGGCGGGGGCTTAGGCTCTATGCCTGAAAAATAAAATGCTGCCAGGCTTGTTCCAGGAAACGAAAACAACTATTATGACAGTGATGAAAACACTGAAAAACTTTATTTATAGTGCATGACGTTGTAAGGTCTTGACGGCTTATTGTAACATTGAAATATGTCAGCTTTCAAAGTGATAAAAAATTTCTCCTGGCACTTAAGGAATTAAAAAAATTATTTCAATATCAAGGCATAGCAAAATTTAAAACATACCTTTAGCTTTCTTCGATCCGCTTTGCGAGAAGCCAAAGAAACTAGTAAGTTCTTTCTGCACCGCATGGGGACCCTTGGCCGCTTGGCCGCCATTTTGGAACATATGGACTCGTTACCATGTTTCACCGTGAACGCCTGGACTCAAGTAAAATGGCGTTCATCGATCGAGTCCAGAACCGTAAGCAAGTTTCCCGGTTTTGTTTGGATCACAGTCGTGCAAGAAAGGAAGAGAAATTCGGAAACAACTCAAGCAAACTTGCAAAACAAAACAAAGAAAAGAAAAGCGACTTAAACACAAAGTAAGCGGCTATAAATCCCAAAGTAAGCGGCGATCAATCGTCGGGTGCCGCCTTCTATTGAGAACCCTGCATCCTTTCCAACTCTCATCTGAACTATGTCAAGCCCAGGAAACTTATTGGAGGGAAAGGAATGTAAGAACTTGTATCTCTTTCTCATTCACAAGAGCGGTCGTAGCTGGAGGTGTCTGTGAGGGTAAACCGTTTGCAATCTCTAAGTATTTCGCTGTTTCTGCGGCACGGGTGCCAATTGACATGAAGAAATCATCGAACAGCAAGAACCTTCATATTCCTTGTGAAAACAAGCTGTGATACTTCTTTGCGACTGATATACTTCGTTATAGTGTACCACATGGGGTTTCCCTTCTTGCTATCGTGGATTTCTTTCTGAAGGTGTTCTTTTTCAGCAATGCGAAGCTTTCCCTTGACTTGATCTCAAGATAAACGGTATCTTTCATAAATGAAACACGTTAAAAAAATCAAAGAGCCTAGTTTTAATGCAGTTGCACGGGTGCAAAATACGATTGTAATCTGCTTGAGTGAAAGAGTGGGACGAATTATGTAAATAAACAGAGAAATAACAAAAGAAAAATATAATTATAAGCACAGTGCAATAATGAGAAAACGTTTATATGCCTGAAGCGCGCCTAAAACCAAACAAGCCAAAATATGATGGCCTCTGAGGTCCAATAATCAATGTAAGTAAAGTAGTAAAATTAAGGAAAAAGTGAATATAGAGTTGTATATAATACATCTAAAAGAAAAAGTTTACTTGTGTAGTTGGTGTTTTTTCAGCTTGCTGCTGGGGTTATGGATTCTGTTTTAAAGGCATTGGCGGGTGCGTTCTTCTTCGGGTGCAAAGAGTCAGTTATATGTCGGGGGCAGCAAATTGGGCTGTCTCTGGACTGAATAGGGAGTAACTGTGGATTCTGCTTTGCTCCCAAAAGGTTAGGCCATTGCAGAGTATCAAAACGTTTCCTGACAAAAACATGGTATAATGGCATTCCTTAGTCCAGAGGGAATAGGCTCTCTTCTTGTTTAATTCATGTAGCAGGCTGGCAACATGACCAAATCCCTAGTCAAGTTTAGCATAGTAATTCATCAGGCTCCTGCACGCACGCACTTCCTTGACAGACCTGAGAAACTGGTGTCAGGCAAAATTCCCTTGTTAGTGATCCTGTGACCAAGAAAACTTACCTGTCTCTGTCCAAAATGGAAATTACTTGGTTTGAGTTTCGGATCATTCTCTCAGAATCTGTCAAAGACCAGGTGTAGATGGTACTCATAAATGCCAGAGTACATAGATAATGCAATCTGCCAATGTTGAAAGCATACTGTGGCTGTCATGGGCGACTTACTTTCAGCAAATCAATCAGACAGTTTTTAACGCGACTTTACTATATATTTAATCCCAAAAATTGCTGACACAAGTTGGTATTGATCGGATGGGTTAAAAATGCCAACAAAATAGGGAGCAAAAACTTATTACAATGTAAATTAGGCTAAGTATGCTCAAAACTAAATACACTTAGGAAAACTATGACGAAAATAACGATGAAAACTACGCAATACAAAACTTATATTTGTTGCGATGCTGTAGGTAGGGACAACCGGATTGGCTTATGTCTTATTTGTCCTATGTCCTGGGGCTACTACAGACTGCAACCAATGTCTGAGCGGCATTTGAACCAAGGAAAAAGAGTTATTAACAAATATGGCCGACAAGATAGTGATTTGATTTGTAACACAATTTCCGGTTGTTATACTGTAAAGGTTTTATCATTAAATCATTCCACTTAAAGGTGAGTACAATTCTTCTTAAATGTGACAGTGCAATTACATGTTGCTGTCACTCGTTTGTATCTCTCATTGGTATACAACGCCACTTATTTGACAATGGAAAAATACCCATTGCTTGTCCCAGGTTCCATTTTCACCGAGTTGGTCAACTTTATTTTCACTTTAAAGGGAGGAATTATTGAACCAGACTCGTTGCAGTCCTCCAAGCAAATAAATTCCATTCTGCACCTCTTGGCTGACACACCAGTCAATGAAAGCTTGATTTACAACTAACAAAGTTCAATACTCTTATAGTGCTCAGCTAAAGAAGCTTCAAATATTTGTTTAGAAGATATCTGACAGTTGCAAGGTATTACGTCACCTCAAACAGTTATCAATACCTGTTATGGTGCTGTTTATGAATGGAGCCTTTGTACAGAGGGGCTGCATACCTCTGTAGAAGGTTCTGGGAGCCTCTGCGAAGTTGACTGGTTCGTTCATTTTCATTCTATTTTTGGGCGACGCCCTTGGTGGTCTTAAATCTTAAATGTTTAATAGAGGTGCTC